GTTCCTCAGCATCCTAAGTAGCTGGGATTACAAGCATGTGTCACCATACCCGGCTAATTTTTGCTTTTTGTAGAGACGGGGTCTCATTATGTTGCCCAGGCTGGTCTCAAACTCCTGGATGCAAGTGATCCTCCTGCCTCGGCTTCCCAAAGTATTGGGATTACAGGCATGAAGCACAACACCCAGCCACTTCACAATATTTTTCCAATTCATAATTAAGTTATAATATAAAAGTCCCTAATATAGAGACATAGAATGATTTAGTAAGAAGAGCCTGAGATTCCTAGCCTGAGTTTGAATCTGAACTGCTTAATTTCTGAGTGTCCTAACACACATTCCTTCATCCTGTTTTGTCTCTTTTCTCATTTGTAAAATGAAAACTATCAGTACCTACCAATTAGGTATTATATAAGGAAACAAATATAAAACACCTGGCTCAGGCCGGGCGGTGGCTCAAGCCTGTAATCCCAGCACTTTGGGAGGTCGAGGTGGGTGGATCACAAGGTCAAGAGATCGAGACCATCCTGGTCAATATGGTGAAACCCCGTCTCTACTAAAAATACAAAAAATTAGCTGGGCATGGTGGTGCGTGCCTGTAATCCCAGCTACTCAGGAGGCTGAGGCAGGAGAATTGCCTGAACCCAGGAGGCAGAAGTTGCGGTGAGCCGAGATCGCACCATTGCACTCCAGCCTGGGTAACAAGAACGAAACTCCGTCTCAAAAAACACCTGGCTCACTGCTTGGACTATAGCATTTGCTTAATAAATTGTAGTTATTGTGATTATTGGCAGAGTAAATCAATGTGATAACTGGTGGAGTTAAGATTGAAAATTATCTCCATTATCTGAAATAACAGTCTATTTTCAACCAAATTAAATGTAATGTTGCTTTTAGCCTTCTCCAAGCACATTTGTATGGTTCAAGATCTGGGAAAATGAAGACTAACAATCTAGTACCTCACATCCTTGAACATTTTTAAATAAAGTGTTATAGACCTGAGTCATTCACTATCCACACTCCATATTCTAGAATCCATGCAAAATTGAACATGATTAACAAATCATTTTTAAATTATTTAATTAATCAATTGTAGAGGATTGTTTGTTTTTGAAGGCCAAAGAGTGGCTTCCCAGCACCTAGTTCTCCTTCCTAAACACATCTAAATTTCATCTTGAAAACCTAATTCTATACCCACTGGACATGGTCCAGTAGGCATATAGTCAGACTCCCAGCTCCCACTAGACAAAGGAGAGACCCATGCCCCAAAACGCACCATTCAAACATTCTCTCCTGGAAATGTGATTCTTGAGTGGAGTGACATAGAAATTAAAAATGGAACAGTTGATTTTTTTCCAAGTAGTAGAATCCTGTCTGTACTTTCCCTGTAATAAATCCAATTGTGCTTTTATCTCGCAAGCAGCCTTGGAGACACCAGTTTCCAGCTTAGTTCCTCACCTTCCTATAAATTATGTGAGCCTATAAGACTCTTGCAATAGATTCCTTCTTTCTCAGGTTAGCCAAAATAATCTATTTCTGTTGTTTACAACCAAGAGTCCCCACTAATATATAAATCCAATGTATTGAGTGTTTCCTCAGCTAGGTCATTATTGGGATTACAGGCATGAGCCACAACGCCCAACCACTTCACCTTAACCAAAGAGATTCGTGAAGCTTGGTGCCCACTCCTACTTCACTGAGGAAACAGAACATAAAAAGAAATCGCTATTTAAGACAATGAGTAATAAGTGACAAATGAATAGTAAAAGCAGTATTTTGTAGGAGTTCATAGGAAAAATGTATTTCTGAGAGGCAGTGCTTTATTGCGGTAAAAATACAGAATTTGGAGTGCTTTCTAGTCCCAGCTCTACCACTTTTCATTTTAACTCTGCCACATTTCTCAATGACTCTAATCCCTCTCCCTTGCTGGGTCAAACGAGTTAGTGGAGTTGAAAGCATGCTATAACTGGGAAAGTACCAAATAAATATTAGTTACTAATTATTTCTGTGAGCTGGGCATGGTCAGCAATTTCATGAGGTGAGCTATTCTATGTAAAAACTAACATTCATTGCATGTCTAATATACACCATGTGCTGTGCCAAATACAAAATTAGAATCTTAAAACAATCCTAGGAGGTATGTGTCATTATTTCCCTTTTACAAACTGAAAACTAAGATCCGTGGACATGTGGTAATTTGCCAAAGGTCAGATAGCTAGTAATTGATAAATCCTGGATTTGAGCTACATCTGTCTGACTCCTAGTTCTACGTCATTTCCACATGCTGCTACTTCCCTTAGAATGTTTTTAGAAAGCATAGGTCTCCAAGAAAGCAGAATACTGAGAACAAAGATATGCAGCTGGACCTCTTCACTCTCATTTCCTACACATGTTCACATCCTCCTGATCATCTCATCAAGTCTGTCACTGACCATCTCTCAAAGGCAAACAGAAAAATCCCACAGTTTGTCAGTCACAGAAGCCATGGACTTTGTAACAAGTTCATTCGGAGCCAGATGTAGTCTAGATTTCCAGATATGATACCAGTGAGGACACAGAGTAGGTGTGTGTCCTTGGGAAATGCTGTATTTTACCCTGGCATGTACTTGAGGCATGGGCTTAGTAATGCCGCAAAAGTTCTATGCTACTACGAATATTCTACTGTATTTTCCCTCAAACCGAAATACATTACTAGCTCTAATTTCTAGCAAGTAGTGAGAATGTAAGATTTCTATTGGCAAAAGTTACTTGGTTTACTAAAAGTGAACTACTAACTTGAGATTGTTCAGCTCAGATCCGAAGAGACAACATAGGTAGTTGCTGTTGCACCAACTTTAAAAGACCAAAGGAAGAGTCTGGATATCTTTGGATCCTGACAGCCATATTCCAATAGGTTATTTTATGAAGTCAGGGGGCTGGGCTTTTCCTACAAAACTGAATGGAATGAAATCCACAGTTAGTCAAGGCCAACCAGAGGAAATCGCTTTTTGCTGAGTGATTAAGATCTCACAGCATGTTCTCTTTTTTTCCTTTGGAGCAGTTTTACAATGGTTCCACTTAGATTCAGCACTGTTTCCTGGTCATTAGAATACCTTAAATGGCCAACAATGTAGTGATTGGTATACTAATCTTATCCTGCTTATTACATAGAGGTTCATAAAAACAATTATTTAATGGCACAAACTTTTTAATTACTTGTGCTGCACTGATTGTACAACTGAATGTCGTTGTCCATTTTATGAATAAGGTTGAGCAGATTACTAGATTGCATAAGTCAGGATTATAATTCTACAGAACTTAACATATTATTCAGTCAAAAATATCCAGGAGCTATGCAAGGTAATATAGCAGACATGGATCTGAAGTTAGTAACCATCTGACTTACACTAGGAGAGGTATTAGACTTCTGGGGAATAAAACATGATTCTTTAAATCTTATAACTAATACTTGCTGAAATAAAACAACATCCATACATCTGAGTCATTCTCAACAACAAAGTCTCTCCTTTGTTGTTGCTGCCAAAAGCCATAAGTTAAATGTTTAAATGAAAGCTCAGTCTTTCCACATATTGCTTTCACAGGAAAAGATGATAAAACCTAATATTTCCTGTCTAGTTTAACAGTATGGTCAATTATAAAGATTTAAACATAAAACCTAACACCATAAAAATCCTAGAAGAAAACCTCGACAAAACCATTCAGGACATAGGCATAGGCAAGGACTTCATGACTAAAACACCAAAAGCAATGGCAACAAAAGCCAAAATAGACAAATGGGATCTAATTAAATTTAAGACTTTCTGCACAGCAAAAGAAACAATCGTTACAGTGAACCAGCAATCAACAGAATGGGAAAAAATTTTTGCAATCTACCCATCTGCCAAAGGTGTAATATCCAGAATCAACAAAGAACTAAAGCAGATTTACAAGAAAAGAACAAACCCATTCAAAAGTGGGAGAAACAGATGAACACTTTTCAAAAGAAGACATATATGAGGCCAACAAACATATGAAAAAATGTTCATCATCACTTGTCATCAGAGAAATGCAAATCAAAACTACATTGAGATACCATCTTATGCCAGTTAGAATGGTAATGATTAAAAAAATCAGGAGGCGACAGATGCTGGAGAGGATGTGGAGAAAAAAGAACACTTTTACACTGTTGATGGGAGTGTAAATTAGTTCTACCACTGTGGACGACAGTGTGGCAATTCCTCAAGGATCTAGAACTATAAATACCATTTGATCCAGAAATCCCATTACTGGGTATATACCAAAGGATTATAAATCATTCTATTATAAAGACACATGCACATGTATGTTCACTACGGCACTGTTTACAATAGCAAAGATCTGGAACCAACCCAAATGCCCATTAGTGATAGACTAGACAAAGAAAATGTGGCACATATACATCATGGAATACTACACAGCCACAAAAAAGGATGAGTTCATGTTTTGTAGGGACATGGATGAATCTGGAAACCATCATTCTCAGCAAACTGATACAAGAACAGAAAACCAAATACCACGTTCTCACTCATAGGTGGGTGTTGAACAATGAGAACACGTAGGCACAAGGAGGGTAGCATCACACACTTGGGTCTGTTGTGGGGGCTAAGGGAGGGACAGCAGGGGTTGGGGAGGTTGGGAAGGGATAATATGGGGAAAAATGCCAGATATAGATGACGGGG